TTGTGTGGAGGAAGGGAAAGGGGTGGCCTGGGAAAGTTTGACCAGTAGTCCCTATCCTCTCCCACCTGAGCTGAGATCCTCATGACAGATCTGCAGACATGCTGGGGAGTTATTCCAGTCACCAGGCCCTCAAGCATTTGTCAAACCAAGCAAAAATTTGCTGCAACCAACAAATGAGTCTGTGCACCCCTTCCAATAGCCCACACATTGGTTTGGTTCAATGTGTTTACCTTTAAGACAAGCACTTCCAAAGAGAAAGCACATGTCTGGCTGGTGGGACCCACAGCAGGTTCGGGGTCTGAAGGGCCATGATGTATCCTTGGCACCCACTGCCCCAGCCAGTTGTGCAAGGTTGGAGGTGGTAGGTGAGACGTGCATTCACCAAGGCTTTTCCTTGGCATTAATCTGCTCACAAGAAGACTGTGTAGATTCTTGTGAAAAGTTCACCAAGGTCACATGCAGGGGCAAAGGTGAGGCCAAGGTGAGACTGGGAGGGGACCTCCATGGAGCAGATGACTTGAGAAAGCTGCAGATGGAAGGTGGTGGAAAGATGCTTCGGGGATTAGGGCACAAGAGCAATAAGGGTCCCGGGCTCTGGGGGAAGTTAAGCCTAGACAAGGGAAGCAGAGGGGGAAGAAGCATCTATGCTCCCCATAAGGGATGGAGCTGGGCAGGCTCAAGCTCTGTGACTCCAAAGCTCAGGCTCTTACTGGCCCGTCACGCAGCCCTCTGTGCTAAAGCAGTAAGTGCCCTGCATCAGAAAGCATTCGTGCCTTTCCAAACAGACTCACGATGGAGCTGGATTCCAAACCTGGAAGGAGGGCTCTCTGCAACTCATTTTCTTTCAGTTTCCATATTGTGCTGAACAAGTGGGGAGGGTTGGAGACAGTGGGGTGTTCAGAATGTTGCCAAGTGACAGTGGCCACAGGCAATGGAAAGCAGGATAGGATGTGACTGCAGCGTGTCGTGGAGGGCAGGAGAGACAGTGGCAGGGGCAGATTCAGGCCCTCCCCGTGCTCCCCTGGGCTGGCTGGCCCTGGGGAAATGGCAAACTAGTTAGCCATGGCAAAAGAGCTTCTTAAAAGTGATTTTGATTGTGAAATATTCCACTTAAATTATGAAATGCATGACACACACAAAAGACTGCATAAAATGCACATGAATGGCTTAAAGAATAGTCATAAGATGAACATTTGAGTATCCATATCCAATCATAAAAAAAACAAACAGCATCTTACAAAAGGCTCCTGTGTCTCTCCCACATGGTGTCTTCCTCCCTCCCTCACCAGAGCTAGCAACCCTCCTGATTTTTATGGTGGCCATCCACTTGTTTTTCTTGATAATTTACCATTTATGTGTGATCTCTAAACAATGGATTGTTCAGCTTTGAAAAGGTTAGTAGCAAGCACAAAGCCAGTTGTGCAAAGAAAGGGCCATGTGGTCCCATTAGACAGAGGTCCCAGGAGCAAGTAAGACGGCACAGGGCATCAGAGGCTGGCCTCCACTTCTCCGATGGTGACCTAATTACTTGGTATTCCAGGAACTGGGCCAAGAGGCAGCCCAGTCTGCCAGAACATCAACTCCAGCCGGGAGAACAGGGGCCATGAGGCCCAGGGGGGCAAAGCAAGGCAGCTCACGTCCTGAGAAACCTGCCGCCTCATTCCCACACTGGCTTTATCTCCATCCTCCTCATCTGGGACCAGGGGTATTAGGAGAGAGGTGGCCCTGCACGGAGACCCCTCCTCACCACCACCGTGGCTTTTGGGGGTGGAGGACTCAGATGCACTGAAGGGATTGAAGGCTGTGGGCGGGGCTGGAAGCTCCCTGAGTCGAGGGATTAATGAGGGTGTCGTGAGCGTGGACTTGGGCCACTCTGTGTTGCTGAAACCATCCCCACCTGGGGGAGCAATCCCCAGCCCTCAATTCTTAATTCCCAGTAAGGCCTCTCCCCAGTGCCAGCAAGCCCAACCTTCCTTAGCATCCTAACCCATCCCCATTCATATTCTCATCTAGTTCTGCCTCACCAAGGGAGGTGTTCAAATCCTGGCTCAGCTGCTAACCTGCCTTATGCCCCTGCCCTGGTGGATGCCAATGCTTGGCCGCTTGCTCATCTGCTCAACAAGAGCCCTCTGAGTGTTGGCCCATTTCCCTGGGTGAAGGGTTTGACTTGGAGTCAGCCTCTTCTCTCCCTCTCCTGGTTGTGAGCCTGGCCCAGCCCTTGCCCCCCGACACCCCACCCACCTGCCTTTCTCTGCCCGCCAGGCCTGCCCTGTCCCTTGGCTTCCTGCCTGCCTTTGACCTGGCACCGGCACAATGTGAGGTTGCTGAGACCAGGAACAGGCTCATGCCAGGAGAGTCATTTTCTGACCCAGCGATCAGCTGCAAGAGAAGGGGTGACATCACCGAACTTCCACGGTCACTGTCACTGTGCCCCAGGGCCCCTCCATGCATCTGCCCCAGGGAAGCATGGCCCCCAGCAACTGATAGGCCATGCCCCAGCAGTCTCCCAGCCTCAGGAGTTGGATCTGCGGTCAAGACTGTGAGAGTAACACAGCAGAGCGGCCTCCATTTGTGGGAATGCAGGGGGAGCATGGGCTGCTCTGCCAAAGCCAAAACAGCACTGATTGTCTACCAGGCACCAGCTACTCCAGATGCACAAACATACCCTCTGCTTCCTGGAAAGGAGACATCTATGAAGCCTGTGTGGGCCCTGCCTGTTGATGCGCAGTGCAGTGGGATTTGCATGTTTGTCCAGGAGGGGCATGGATGTAAATCATGGCTGATGCGATGGCTATCTGTTGGTTTTAGGGCTGCCCCACATTCACCCATGCTTATTAGCCCCCAGTTTCCTTTTGGGGTTGACTCTTCCCCCAAAATGTTTGGTGTGGGTGGAAGAATAATCTTAGGTGCCTTAGGCCTCCACTGTGGAAGTCTAGGAAGTGGAATCCTGTCTCTCTCTGGCTGTGGTCACACAGGGCACGGTATATGATCTAACCCTGACTCACAGGCCCTCACCCAAAGGATGCTATCTGCAATGAGTGAGGCAGGGACAGCTGGGCCCCTGGACAGATGGTGTCTGACACGAGACAGGGTTGTGCCTGCTGCTTTCCCAGGACAAATTCCCAGAGCCCCTCATTACCTTCCAGTTTGCTCCGTTAAGGGAGCTGGAGCCTCTTTCACATGATGATAGAATCCTAGCTGGTACTGCCAGAGGACACTGTCCAGCCTTCAGGAAGCCACCGTAAGCCCCACAGGGTCCCTGACAGTGGCCTGGGTGTAGTGTCATGGGGGACAACAAAGAGAAGCACTGGCTTGCAAAGCCGGTGAAATGGTGTTTCTTTTTTCTTTCCTTTTTTAAAAAAGAGATGGGCATCTTGCTTTGTTGCCCAGGCTGGAGTGCAGTGGTGGGATCATAGCTCACTGCAGCCTCCATCCCCTGGGCTCAAGAGATCCTCCTGCCTAGCCTCTGGGGTATCTGGGACTATAGGTATGTGCCACCACACCAAGCTAATTTTTTTTTCATTTTTTGTAGAGACGAAGTCTGCCATGTTGCCCAGGCTGGTCTCCAACTCCTGGTCTGAAGCCGTCCTACTGCCTGGCCTCCCAAAGTGCTGGGATTACAGGTGTGAGTACAGTTCCCGGCTGCTGTGTTGCTTCTGGAGAGGGCAGTCATTTGATGATATCTGTATCTGCTGCCTCTCTCTTTTGGCAGAACTTCCCTCTATGTATGCATAAAAGAGTTTTTCCCTCTTACCAGTAAATTGGTAGGATATAGCTTCCTTTGCTGTTGTCATTCCTCTAAAGGGGTGAGTATTTAGTCTGGGGGACTTTCCCTGCCTGGGGGACAATGGATTCTGCAAAGCACACTAGTGGCCAGCAGCTCTGGGTGTGCCGCAAATGCGCATGGCTGTTCCATTTGTATGAGGAGGATCTGCAATCCCTGCATCTGCTGGCCTGCTCAGTACAGAGCCCTGTGGAACCTGGGTGCTCACCCTAGACCTGCTCACAGGGATCCCCCAGATGCCCTGGTGGCTCAGGCAAGGGCTTTCTAGTATAGAATCCTGTCATTCATCCTGGTGAGGAATGAAGCTCTGGGGCAGTCGGGGCCTGCAAAGGCAGTGCCCCCCCCCACCATGTTCTTAGTGACCTACAAATGAGACGAAAGTCCATAAATGTCCCTAAACCATTTATTTTAAGTGTACATTGCAGTGGCATTGAGTACATTCACAATGTCGTACAACCAGCGCCACTATTTCCAAAACATTTTTCATCACCTCAAACTGAAACTCTGTACCCGGTAATCAATAGCTCCCCGTTCTCCCCTCTCCCCACCGCCTGCCAACCTCGATTCTAGTTTCCATCTCAATCAATTTGACTAATCTAGGTACCTCATATAAGTGGTTTTATACAATATTTGTCCTTTTGTACGTGGCTTATTTCACTTAGCATGTTTTATATGCGCCATATTGTAGCATATATAAGAACCTGATTCCTTTTTATGACCGAATAGTAGTCCATTGTGTGTACATACCACATTTTGTTTATTTATCTGCCGACAGACACTTGGGTTGTTTACACTTTTTTTTAGCTATTGTGACTAATGCTGCAATTAATATTGGCATACTAGCCTCTGGTGGAGTCCTTGCTTTCTTTGGGGTATAAACATAAAAGTGGAATTGCTGGGTCATAGTGCGATTCCCTGTTTAGCTCTTTAAGGCAACATTAAACTGTTTCCAAAACAGCTGCAGCATTTTCCGTTCTCACCGGCAGTGTCTGGAGTTTCCAGTTTTTCCACATCCTCATCCACACTAATGATCTTTCGTTTTATTTGTTTGTATTGTCGCCATCCTAGTGGGAGTCAAGTGGAGTCTCACTGTGGTTTTGATTTGCCTGTCTCTAATGACCAATGACGTTGAGCGTCTTTTCATGTGCTTATTGGCCAGTTGTTTATCTCCAACTGCTCCTGAAACTCCTGTGTGTGTATTCAAAGATAAGCTGTGCCTGAATGTGCCTGAATGTCCCGTCTCACACTCAGCTTCCAACTGCAACAAAGCTCCAACTCCTGCTGCTCGCAACCCTGCTTTGAGGTGGCCTGGGATGACTGGCTCCGTCACTTAACCCTTCGGCTGTTTTCAAAGTAGGTGAAAGGAATCCGAGCAGAGCAGGGTTATGGGAAGACCTGAGAACAGGCACTAACATTCGGTTAGTTTTTCGGGCAGAGACTTCTTTTTTTGCACAAACCATGGTGCTTGTGGCAGAAGGAACTTCAGTGGGTGGGAACAGACTCATGCCTGGTGCCACTTAGCACCTGCATGGAAAAGGGTCTCCTGTGGGCAGAGGAAACCCCCAGACAGGGCACACGTAGCTCAAGCTGGCTGATGGCTCAATAGGGTGCAGCTGCCTCTGCCTTTTCCAGACCAGCCTTGACCCCTGCCTGCCCAAAGAAACAACTGTTTCCATTTTGACCATCTTGCTTGGAGACACCTGACCAGCAGCCTACCACCAAAATCACAAAATAACCATGGCATCATTTTTCTCGTGGACAGATGCTGAGATGCAGTGAGCCACCCTTAGTGCTCTGCCCTGAAGGCTTCCGTCGGTCTGCTGAGTCACACTGCAGGTGAGTGCACCCATTCCTGTGTGTGAACTCCGGCCATTTGCTGCCTGTGGTTCCCCCATGAGTCAGTGGCATTGGGCTTTACTCTGAGCAGATGTAATGGAGAGACAGGAGGTCACAGGTCATGCGCTGAGAGGTGAGTTTGCAATTCTTGAAGAGTTTATTTTGAATAAGCTGAGTCATGATTACTTCAAGGACTATGCTCAGCTGTAGACGCCAACTGCAAAACCAAAGCCTGGGGCATTTTGTCTGTTGAAACTCTGAAAGTTTCCATAAGACGTTATTTCAAGCAGAACTAGACAAGTTTTTTCCTGATGAAACTTGCAATTTTCTATAAAATTTTTAAAAATCAAAATGTAAAAAAATTAATGCCTTCCTCATTCTAAAGTAACAAAGAGTGTCTCATACATTTAAACATTCAAATCAGCTTTGAAATTCAGTCTGCTGTAAATTCAGTACAAAAATGGGGAGGATACAGAAGAATGAGGAAGACCCAGGGAGAGGGAATTCACAATTCACTCAAAATGTGATCAAGGGGGCTATTCTTTTAAACATTTACAACAGCTTTGACACTTCTTTGGTTTTTGGATAGAGCGTCTTCTTGAAATCTCTGAGTCAAAGTTGATATCTTTTAAGATGCTTTTCTGTGCCCTAAAGTGTCTTTGCCTTTTCAGGGATAGGCCATTCGTTCTTCTTGGGTGTCCTGAGCCATGTCGAGTCCTCCTGGATCATAGGAGGCTGGGTTGTCCTGTCCTGCTGGGAGTGAAGGACTGTGGTTGAATGAAGGCTTGGTGGAGGCAGCTGCCTGGCTGTCCTGTGCTCTCCCCCAATGGAGCCGGGAGCCTTGCTGCTCTAGAGATACGAGCTTGGGGAGGAATGGGGGCTGAGCTCCCTCCACAGCTACCCAATGTCTGAGCAAGAGGTCCCTGCTTAGGGATGCCAAGACCCTCCTAGCAGGTTCCCTCCTAGCACAGCAAGGGTAAGCTGCACCAGCAGGTGGAGAAGTTGGGGAACAGAGAAGTAGCAGCCCCTCAGCCAGGAGGGCACCTCAGCATGGGAGCCTCAAGAAGCCTTGTGGGCAGCGGCCATGATTCAGGACCTCCTCCCCTCCCTGTCCACAGCATGGCCCTCCACCCTTTGTCTTCCAGCAACTGTCAGACCCTTGGTCTGTTAATGTCTGTCTTTTTTCCTCCCCACAAGCTTTTAAGACCATGCTACATGTGTGGTGGCTTTGTTGGAAGGACAAAGGAAGGCGCAGGAGTGAGAAGCGTTTGTAGCTCCCACCAGTCTCACCTCCACCCAGGTCTATCTTCCCAGCAAAACCCTACACAGTCCCCTGTAGAACAACTTCCCCCACACTCTCACCTTCCTGCACTCTGCCAGTCTGCCATGTTAACTTTGAACAGCCCTAGACAACCTTCGTCATGAAAGCCAGCTCCCAAGGCTGGCCACTTGAACAGCTTTCCACATCTCCCCATGGGGTCCTCTAAAATAAAAACCATTAGCCCCCGGGGTATCATTTTTTATTTTACAAGACCCCATGCAATGGCATGAAGCCAGACAGCAGAATAAAAGCAGAACTCCTCCTCACAGCCTTGGCCGTGTCTCCTTTCCCTTTTGCCCTGCCCTCTGTCCTCCCAGCTTTCCATGCCTTTCTTCCTTCTTCCCCTTCCCTCCTTCCCTTCCTCCCTCCCTGTCCTTCTCCCACCCCGTCTTTCTTTCCTCCGAGCACAACTTTTCCAGTCTTGTTCCACCCTAGGCCCCTGAGCCTAGAGAGGCCAGAGCTGCAGTCCTTATGCTTCTTCCTCCCACAGGCCAAGGGATGTGTTCCTGCCTTTGGTGGACTGCTCCACCTATGCTGACTGTTAAAGTCTCCCTCCTTCAGCCAGTCCAGACCAGAGAGCACACCTGAATCTTCCGGCCTCCCCTCTTCATGTGTGTCCCTAAGGAGAAGCTTGTGCCCTGTCTCTGAGGCAAGACATAGCCGACGATGAACTGACGGTGGTAGTCCCGACCTCCACTTGTAATCCCTGCCGGCATCTCCCCAGCTCCCCACCAGCCTCATTCTGTACAACATCCTCTGGCCAAGGTTACAGCTCCTTCTCCCTGGAGCCCCTCGGACCAGCACAGCTGCCTGGGCCCCTCCCCTGCATCACTGGAATGCCCGAGGCTGCCAGATGAGGTGGCCTCCTTCCCAACACAAGGATGCTCCCCTGGGGTGTTCTGTCGTATAAATTCCTCCAATAATTTATTTCCAGAAAAAATAAATTCCCCTAAGAACTGGTATATTTTCTTTTATTAGATAATAAGAGCTGCACAGCACACTGCTTTCTTTTTTTTTGCTTTTCTTACCAGGAAGCTCAGGGCTGCACCAGTGCTGATTGTGGATATATGCATCAGCTCTCTTTTCTATTCTTTCTCTTTCTCCTCCTATTTGTCCATTTCATTCTTGGGTGTGTACCCATGTGTACTTATGGAGAGCTCAGTTCAAGTAACTGTGTGGGAAGGCTAGCCAGGCCTGTGTCTGTGGTCTTGACATAGAGCCCTTGTCCTTCCTCCCGCCTCTCCTGGCATTCACACCTGCTTCAGAGTCTTCTCCACACATGGAATTTGGGGTTCTACACCCCCACTCCAGCCCGGGGGATCACCAAGTGGTCCAGAGCAGTCCTTGGACCCCTCTGCCCCATGAAAGGCGAGTTTTCAAAAGAGAAAGAAGTTACCTTATGTGGCAGATCAGGCCTGAATGCCTGCAGCCTCCTGCCTAAAGGACCAAGTTTCTACCTCCTTCCCATCAGCTCCCGCTTCTCAAAAGACTGAGTTTCTACCCTCAGTTCCCATCTTTCCTCACTCTACCACACAGGAGGAAGGAGAAAAAGATGGAATTTGGGTTTCACAGGTGGGAAGAGGAACTTGGTAATGAGGGAGGTTGGAAATTGTCAAGTCAGTGTCCATGAGCACAGCTACCCCAGAGGAGGTTCTTGTTCCATCTCTGGAAGAGTCTTCAGCCCAGTGGGCGGAGATGGAGTTTCCAATGAATGATGAGATTCCCCTCACCGTACCCTGGTGCCAAGGGTTTGAAGGGCCTTCTCAACAGGCCCTCCATAAACAAGACAGAAACTTGCAGTTAATAGTTAACTATTTCTTTGAGCGGCAGCTCAGCTTTTTGCAAAGTCCCACCAATGATCAAAGGGCTCTTTTTGCCTTGGGGAGAAAAGATGCTTTCTGTAAGCTTTAAATATTCGGCAGGACTTCACAAAATTACAGTTGAAGCTTCATCTTAAATGGCAACTTGTGTCTGGACATTAAAATCACCCCATCTTGGCCAGGCACAGTGGCTCACGCTTGTAATCCCAGCACTTTGGGAAGCCAAGGCAGGTGGACACCTGAGGTCAGGTGTTCGAGACCAGCCTGGCCAACATGGTGAAACCCCCTTCTCTACTAAAAATGCAAAGATTAGCTGGGTGTGGTGGTGTGCCCCTGTAATCCCAGCTACTTGGGAGGCTGAGGTGAGAGAATTGCTTGAACCCAGGAGACGGAGTTTGCACTGAGCCAAGATCGCACCACTGTACTTCAGCCCAGATAACAGAGCCAGATCCTATCTCAAAAAAATAAATAAATAAATCGCCCCATCTTTTCTTATCTGTGTGCATATTTAAGGAAAATAGAGATGTAGAAGCCATTTTGAAGTAAGCTTAAGTATGGTGTTGGAGACACCAACAGAGGCAGAAAAGTGTTTCAAATAAAGTACAAAGTTTATGACATGGGCCTGTGACCTCCGTTCTGTTACTCAAATACAAGAGTGGGCAAATACCAAGCACGGGGCCTCCAGACCTCAAGCTGTTCTCACTGGCTTGTTGGGTAAGAGTGTCAGTTGGGTGAACAGACATCCTTGAATTCCTGAGTTGGCACGGACTCCACTCATAGGATTAAAGCCTGCATTATCTACAGCCCTGAGCATCTGCCATGCACCTGCCAACTAGCACACTGTGGGCTCCATGGAAAGACAAGCATTAGTGTCTGGTCCCCAACTGGGCCAGCATTTGGACGAGCCTTACAAACTTGGGCATGAGGTTTGTGCACATCCCCTGAATACTGGCTACCTTTACCAGGCTCCAATGGTGTACCCTCTTCAGTGACAGGAAAGGTTTGAAAAGTGGAAAGGGGAGTCCAGGCAAGTGTGGGTCCCTGCATGGCATCACCCAACCCAAGAGAGGACTTGAAGCACAAGGGATGTGCTGAAAATTGGCCCATGCTCCTTCCCTTGTTGATCTGCCTTTCCAGGAACACTTTCGCCCCAAATCAAGAACAGTTTAGGATAAGGCTTACTTCATTGGGCACAGCCTCTGCCCTCCCACTCTTACTCGTTGGCCCCCTGTCCTGAGGTTCTTTCAGAATCCTTGCAGAGACCAGGCTCTCTCTTGCTCCAGCCCTTTGCTCAAACCAGGACTCACTCCCTTGGCCTGTCTGCTCCTTTCATCCTTCCCATCCCAGCCTGGGAGCCTTCTCTCATCCCTTCAAGACTGGGTTAGGGCCTCCCAGCCTCCCCTGCCATCTATGCCATCTCTGCAGTGGGTACTGGTCTTATGGATATTCCCCTCAGCAGGAACCAAGTCAGTCTGAACCACTGATACATCCTGGGTGCTCCTCACAGAGCTGGGCAAATAGGAGACTCTCAAAAATGCCCAGTGCATGAAAAACCCCTGGACTCACTGAATACGAGAGTCCAACTAAATAGAATCAGTAGGAGCTCACTTCGGAGCAGCTAGCAGGAAGAGTTCTATACCGAGTGCACTGTGGTTCCTCCAAACTCAGCAAGCTGGTCAGTGCTAACCCCTGGGACATTTTTGAGAGCTGCAGGGAGTTGTGATTCTGTGGAGCAGCTGAGGTTTCAGGTAAACTATAAATACATGAATAGAATGTGATGGGAATGTTCATTTTTCAGGGATAGAGTTGCCTGGGCCAGAATATCCCAGAGCCCCCTGTCTCTGCACTGTGCACAATGCAAGAACATCTTGGCAGCCCTACTCTGGAATCTCCACAAAGGTGGAGACCTGTAGGATTTACTCCCACTGGTTGCTAGCCCCCAGCACAATGCCTACCTCTCAGAGATTGTTGGTTGAATGACTGAAGGAAGAAAAGACAAGTTACAGGGTTTGGATTTGTGTCCCCACCAAATCCCTTGTCAAATTGTAGTCTCTAGTGTTGGCGGTGGGGCCTGTGGGAGGTGGTTGGATCACGGGGGTGGATTTCTCATGAAAAGTTTAGCACTACCCTCTTGGTGTTGTTCTCATGATAGTGAGTTCTCTCAAGATCTGGTTGTTAAAAAGTGGGAAGCACCTCCCCCCTCACCCTCTCTTGCTTCTGCTCTGCTATGTAAGACACCTGTTCCCCTTTGCTTTCTGCCATGACTGGAAGCTACCTGAGGCTCAGAAGCAGAAACCACTATGCTTGCTGTACAGCCTGCAGAACCATGTGCCAAGTAAACCTCTTTTCTTTGTAAATGGCCCAGTCTCAGGTATTTCTTCACAGCAGTGCAAGAATGGACTAATACAATGAGTTTATGGACAGAAAAATTCTTAAAGAAACAGATAATGTAGCTTCAGCTGAGTCTGGAGATTTTTCCATTTTAACTGGAAAACGTTGTACTTTAATATATTTACAGGTAATGTCCCCACTTTCAGGATTTACTCACCCACATAAGCACGTGGAAATCCTAAAGAGGATCTTTACTCAAATGCCCATCATGAAGAGAAAGGGTCTGTAAGATAGACACCACTCAGCAATGAGAATGAGCCATGTCTACAGGTAACAACAGGATAAAGCTCAATAACACGGAGAGAAGAAAGCAAATTGCAGAACAAGTCCTTTTATGTCAGCATATAAAACCCAGCACACAACACTGTATGTTGCTTTGAGATAAATGCATAGAATTCTAAACACCTGGACAGGAAGTTCTATACCCACCTCAGGGTGGTGAGATGAGGCTGAGGACCCAGGACAGGTGGGGATGAGGGAGGATGGGGGCTGTGGAAATCAAGCTGCAGCCAAAACAAGCTCTGAAGCCAATAGAGTAAAATGTTCTCTATTGGGTGTTAAATATGTCCCTATTAAGTGCTATTGTTATATCACTCTCTAGGGGTTTTTGTATATTTGAAAGTCCTATAATTTTCTCTTAGAAATAATTTTCTCAGATTATCAATAATTTAGAAACCAGTGGTTACTTTTCTTAGCATTTGCTATAGAACATACTAGAGTTGTTTTATTTAAATAGTATAAAAAATGTCCTTGTGAACAAGAATTCTTTGAATTGAATTCCCCCAGTTTTCTAACTCTTCAATTCAGTGTCTTTTGTACCAGACTGCCTATTAACCGATGCAAATCCTTAAGGGGCTCTCTCAGGCTCCCCTGCTGTGTATACCCGATTGCTCCCTTCCCTTGCCTCAGCTCACCTTATCCTCCTGCTCAGCCTTTATGGATATCTACAGGCCCCCATGTCCCTCTCCAAAGATGTCAAGCAATATGCACTAGAAGCAGTGATGCGCAAACTTCAGCATACATCAGAATTTCTGGGGCTTGCTAAAACAGACTTCTGGATCCCACCCCCAGCATTTCTGATTCAGTTGGTCTGGGATGGAACCTGAGAATTTGTATTTCCAAGTCTCAGGTGATGCTGATACTACCAATCCAGGGGACACACTGAGAAACTGGGTTGAAGAAGGTTGGAACGCCATGCCTCTGCCTAATCTGTGCTGCACGTGCCGTGAATGAATGTCACGTTTCTGTGAATCTGGTCTGTTCCTTCCTGGTGCCCTCTGCCCTGACAGTTCATCATCACGACACTATCTGGCATTGATCTTTGTTTCAGTCCCTCTCAGCAGAGAACAGATTTAATCACATTTATTTCCATTTGGTCTGGACCAAGTCAACTTTTGGCCAGAAGAGAACATCCAAAATTAAATAAACATTATTGTGTGAAGAATGAACAGGGAGATGAAGAGAAAGACAAAGGGTTTAAGAAATTAGAAATGAAAGCAGGAAGAAAGATGCAAGGCAAGAGGGAAAGTGGAGAAATAAGTAAGTTGATGCTTTCCATTCCCACTGACGCAAGAGGCCCCCGGGACCAGCAG